GAGTCCCTTTAACAAAGCAGAATATATTAAACTCTAAATTAGACACAATTTGCAATAAAGCAAGCATAAAACATTAGTTGACTGCTTACAGGACGTGTTTAGGAAGGCTGTGTAAGACACATGCAGTGACTAGAACTGTATAAGCAAAGTGATTTAACTCCTAAATTTCAGAAAATTGAGTAGTGAGACTGCAATGGCATGATCTTAGCATGTAAACTGCTTAATTAAGCTAAAGTTGTGTTGGTGACTATAAGTTGTTTAGTCTCTTTAAGCTATATTTCCAGTTCAGCCTGGTATGTGCAATTTGGTTTTAATTGATCATGATTCATGAATACACCCAACAATATTACTTTGCCTGTAATGCACATTGTTTCATACTTTATTAAGTAGAATATAGTTATTATTAATACATAATGCCAGTTTCAGTAAAGTACAAGTATAACATGACTTTGTTTTTAGCAAAATATTAAATCAGCTGAGCCTAACACAAAACTTTAACTGTATTTGTGGATGTCAGCTTAAGGTGAATTGTAACCTAATTCAATGCACTGCAGTCCAGTGACAATTCAGGATGAAAACCTTCAGAAAGTCCCTTAAGTGATGATGTTAATGAAACTTTTCTCTTTTGTGCGCTACAAGCACAATTGCTACTGTTGCGATTACAAGAGCATAGTTCAATTTCTTTACTCAAGTAAAATCAGACTTGTCTCCCAGCATATTCTAAAATACTAGTATCAATATTATAACATCCAGTTAGTCTCATACCCGCTATATTTTAATGAAAATAGTGAAATTAAGCATTTTTTATATGTCTTGGCACTCTAATGTTGCAATGGATGAAGTTGTCATAGACACTCTTTTGTGTTTTGGATTGTGTTTTTTTGTGCAGGATGAAATGACCTTTCTTAATAATTATATACTCTAGACATCAGCATGCATTGATAAATTGTATTCTGTAAGCATATTTCAGGAACTATTTTCCTTGTAGAAAAATAGAGAAAGGGAAGTGTTGTTGAGTGGGTTGCATGGTATAGTATAGGAAGAGGCTGGAGATTTACAGGTAATGGATAAAACAGTGGAAAACACCAAAATAAGAAAATGTTTATATTTAATGATATAACTACTTTTAAAGATATGTGCAACACTGAGCTGTGTTAGGTTAATTGGCCATTAAAGTGTTTTGTGTTTTCTATGGTAAATAAACAAAGAATGCACACCATAAGACCATAAAAAGTCTCTATCTGTATTTATTACATCACAAGTACATATACAATACTAGTACAGCAATAAGTGACTCACTAGGCAAACAATAAACAAAAATCAATATTTACCACATTCCACAAGCCTAATCGGGCAGAAACATGAATCAAACAAAACCCCCCAACGTTTCGGCTCCTCCTGGTAGCCTTTATCAAGGGTGGTATTTTCTATGGAATATTTTGGACAATTAACGACAAGAGACAACAGAGTTCCAAGAAGGCCAAAAACCAAGTGTCTGCAATTAAGCAGTGATAGGTTTATCAGTCTCAAAAATGCAAGTTTAAAAAAAAAAAAAGATAAATATTAAATGTAGCAAGTGAAGATTGTAAAAAATAGTGGCAATGTATTACAAACTTGGGCAAACTGTTTTAAGTCAGCTCCACAACAGGGATAAATAAGCAGTGATTTGAATCTGCAACCTTCATGATGACCAAATCTGAATATCACTTAACCATTAAGGGATGCTCTGTTGATCAAAATGTCAAGAATATATAATGTTCTTGATCAAAGACTTTCATACTGTTCTTCTCTATGATTTGAGAAACATTCTACCACACACTCTTCATGACTATTAGTGTTACCGTAATCAATTGCAGAAGCCAAACACAGAGAGATGGAGGCAGGTCTTCAGGAAGTAAAAAGGCTCTTTATTCATACCAATCGGTTCTCAGATGAACTCCTGTTCCAAAAATGTCTGAAAGCCAGAGCACAGATTGCAGAAGCTTTTTGTTAGCAGCATATCCCTTCCCATACAGTATAGCCCCTCCTATATTCCTCAGACCAATCAGCAAACAGGATATTTATGATCACCTTATATGGGCAGACCACAAGGTTCATCTGAGACAAAGGAATGTGCTTTCCACTTCTGCACATGCTCAGTACACTGATGACTCATCCAACTGTTTGTAATCAGATACTAATTAGCAAATGCCATGTGGAGATTTCGGCCTACTAAATTTTGACCATGCTGGAATCCCAACACATTTCCCCTTTGATGCCTCTGATATAACATTATTCCAGATGCATCACTAATCATAATCTACCAACACCACTCAAGTAACCATGAACCAGTTCAGACCTTGTAATCATTCTAACTTAACTTTGTGCTCTCTCAACATTCCTCATCCTGATTATTCTCTCTCTGGGGTAGGGGTTCATACTTCCTAGACAGCCATTACATGGGCAGCTATCTTTCTTTCTATAGTGCTCTCTATAACACTACGTATAGACCTGACCACTAATGGGATTAGGCAGGGCAGGAGGAGGCATAAGAATATAATAAACACTACTCCTCTTTAATCCCACTAATGCTTTAATCCCACCAAGCTGCTCATACCAACTTCCAAACCAACTATTTGGATTATACCCGTTCCAAATTTGAGTAGGTACATGCATCAGTTTAATCATGTGAATGGCAAGATCAACCACAGCCTGCCCCTCATCATCTATGTGCAGACAACAATTACTGAGGTTAAACTTTGCGCACACACCTCCTTCTACTGCCAGCAAATAATCAAGAGCCAGCCTATTTTAGTAAATGGCTTATCTCATACGGGTATTTTGCTTAGCCAAAAGGTTAAGTGCTTTAGCCGTCTCGTTGGTTATGATCTTAACCACTGCCTGTAATCTTATAATGTGGTTGAGCATATATATGGGGGTTCTATAACCATATGTGCCATCTTCCACACAGGTAGCAGGTCCATAATAATTAATAATACACTGGGGAGGCCACTCATCATCTTCCCAACTACCTATGTTCAATGATGCTAGTTTCTTTTTATGATTCACATCATAAACCATAACTCCCAAGGTCTCTTTTGTTTCAATTGGCAACAAGAAGAAGGATGGTTTGAGCATACCTAGCACACATGCCCCCTCCCAATCTTGTGGTAACTCCGAATATGCCTTCTTATCACAGATCCAGTATAAATTCGATGGGGCTCTGCAATTAGATGTAACAGATCAAACCATACCTCTCTCAAATTGGTGTAATTGGCAAAAGGATTAGTAGGTTACGAGACATTTGAAGCTGACCACCAAGTAGTACTAGCATTATAGGCCTTCTGTCCCAAACATGTTAACTCTCCAACAGGTGATTATACATTGGACCTCCTCTAGCTAAACATACATGACCTATAATGGATGTCTTTAAACGCCATTCAGATTTTTCCCTTACATTTATTTGATGGCCAGTTTGGGAAGGCATCTGTTGTTCAACTGTCTCAGAACCAGGGTACCATACTTTTTTTGCCTCCCATGGCCATTGGTCTCCCATATTTGTGCCTCCACATACAAAGCAGTTAGTTATATTAAGAGTACCTGCAATACTCTCAGCCAAATCAATAAACAGGTTCTTAACATTATGGGGAATTTTATCCTCAACACATCTCCTCATAAAAGGAATGGAATACCTGATGAGTCTGAGTAACTATTGTCTTGGTTACAAGACCTACATATATTATGGCTCCTGGATCTGCTCTTGTACCATGTATTTGAAACCCAAAAAGATTCCCAAACTTGTCAGTGAAGTGCTGTGGATTAGAAATGGTCATATGCATTAATGTCCCCTGGGAGTTAACAACCAAATTGTATGGGGTTGGAAATGGGGATCAAAACACTTAGGCTCACCTGATATCGGTCGAAACACACTATAATCGGTATCTAAGTACCTACACCTTGACAAAGATCCTCTACATTCATATTGTGAGTGCCAAATAAGAGTTTGGGATATTTGGTTACCTGTTTTCGTAGTCTTAATACAACTAACACAGCTCGGAATATCCTCACCTTTACCTTCCTGAAAATGTATAAAAATACTAAAACACATAATTACTATAACACATCATTCTTGTGGTCCTCATCTTATTCTGCAACGGCACCTCAGCTTCAGGCTTGTGAGGGCTGCAAGGATTGTTGTCCTTCTGATCCTCACTTACCTTCACAGAGGTCCCTTTGAGACACTCTGACTATGAGAAGTAGGCAGGTGGTCAGGCTTTATTATGGCCGTCAAAACACCTACTTGCTGATTTCCAATGATGTTTCCAACCACGATACTTCAAAAAATACCTTGTACTTCTAAAGTCACGCTTAATCCGACTGGGTTATGCACTTAAACCGGATCTTGCAAGGATTCTCAGGATCTGGAGTAGCTTGCCAGGAATCTGCCGCTGGTTTAACTCTAGAGTGATGGATCCAAGGATTCACCTCTGCCACGTTTACAGTTGTTGGGGTAGATAAAAGAACAACATACAAAGGCTAACAGGATATACCCCAAGCTTTAACTCAATATGTATCGGTGGGATGTTACGAGCAAGTCCTGGAGGATTATTTTCTGCCCATACTCCTGCAATGTCAAATAAAGTTCCATCACTCTTAGGGTTTGCGTTTGTCATTACAGAATAGAAACACCATTCTTCTTCTTTTGGCACCAATACCGCTATCATGCCTGGTGATTTATTAAACTTCAGAGACGTTGATCCATTAGGTAGAAAAGTTATCTCGTCCTAGAAGTTGAACTGGACACTCCGGCATATATAGGAACTGGTGCTTAATAAAATTGCCTCCTAGAATGCAAGTACGACTTCTGAGAATCGGCCAGCAGCATTTTTCCCAGTAGCTCCAATCACAGTTATAGTCTTTCCAGAAGGAGTAGCTACCAATTTGGTCACCACAGAATGCTCAGCACCCATGTCTATCATGAAAGGACTTCTCTTTCCCCCTATTGTTACATCGACCATAGGCTCCACTTGGCCAACGGGGATGGAGCCCGGTCAGTATCAATAGTCCTCCATGACTGTATCAGCCAGACCCACAAAATCTCTATCTTCCCTATCGCTTTATCTCTGGGTAGGGGGATAATACCTACCTCACCTTATTTGCAACCTCCATTAACTGTGATATGGACATCCCTGCAAATCCCTCTAACTTTTGTAACTTTCATTTAATATCACTCTGGGCCTGGCTGACAAAGGCTGAATTAATCATTCGGGAGTTTTCAGAGGCTTCAGGATTGAAAGGAGTGTACAATCTGTATGACTCAAGCAGTCTCTCATAAAAGGCACTAGGTGACGCATCAGTTTTCTGCAACACTTCAGCCATCCTGGACATATTAATCGCCTTTTTTTCCCACCTGCCTTCATGCCAGTAATAATGACTTGCTGATAGGCCTTCAAATGGGACATGTCAGTGCCATTAATGTTCCACTTTGGATCGGTATTGGGAAAATTGGCAGTGGTCCATGCGACTGGATTAGCCTGGTTTTGAGTACGGGTTGTTTCCTCAAGTGCCTTAATGGCCGCTTGATTAATCCTAGTCCTTTCCTCACAATTAAACAAGGTTAATAATAGCTGCTGACAAACAGCCCAGGTGGGATTGTGGGTCTGTATAATAGAGGTGACCAAGTCCGTCATGGCTTGAGGTTTTTTCTGTGTACCAGGAATTATGGGTCTTCCAATTGAACAGGTCAGTCGTGGTGAAGGGACATAAACAAATACAGGGTCTGCCTGCTGTAATTGACCATTACCATCAACATGTGGTTGGCCAGGGGTAAGCCGAAGTGGCATTTGCAAATGTTGGGATGGAAGGGTGCCAGTCAGTTATCAGGTTAGTATGGGATTTCAGTAAGGTTGCTTAATAACAGGTTCCGGTCTAAGAGTAATAAGGTAGGTGGAAAGGGGTGAATTAACTTTACTGTTCAGCATTAGGTGGATAAAAAAATAAAAATGTGTTAAACCAAAAACCTACCTTACCATCCCACTTATTCATCCTCCAGAGCCAGAGTAGCCACTCCCCCACTCTTCCTCCCAAGCTAAAACTGGTATAGCTGGTGTTTGCACTCTCCCTGCTCTATTGTCCCCGCCTACCCAAATACCTAACTTAGACTCTGTTCTTTTGTTTTTAAACTCTCCTATTTCTGTACCAACCCCCCCTGGTTCTTTGTATTTTGAACGGACCCACTTTTTGTAGGAGTGTTATTTAGCATTGAATTTTATTAACAATTAAAATTGTGAGGAGAATTTTTAATAACAGTAACTGAGTCTATTGGATCAGATAATTCTCAGCAATTACATTGTACCAAAATCCCTGAAATACACCTACAACTACTGAACCCCGTGTGCCTTCAGTAACAGTTACAGTCTAAAATACAACTGGAAGAAATGATCAATGGTATAAGACGCTAGAACATACTTTTATCCTTTTTTAGTTACTGGTTGGGCCCCTCCCAGCTTTGTCCAAAATATCCCCTATACTAAAATACAAATGGAGGTGCTTAATTTACCTTAGAAGAACTCAAGGGCCACCTACTGGCCATCTTCGGGAGTTACCTTGATTTACATTGTTTAAAATACTAATGACCGTTTACAACAGACAGAAGTAAGACTTCTTACCCTTTTTTAATTTTTCTTGTTATAAGGTTTTATTTTAGGTATAAATATATTAAAAGATACGTTTTATTATAAGACCCATAAAGGCTATTTTGATACAATTACTTACTGAACATATTTACACCAGAATTCAGCCTGACTCCAATCCTCCTATATTAAACGGGTGGGCTACAGATCGTTTAATTTCCAATAAGCGGTACGCCTTTGCTTCATCCCTTCTTAGGAAGGGGGCAGTCAGATTACCGGTTACAGATACAAATTCAACTTGTGGGTTCACCGTCTAACAGTCTTACATTTAAGTTTGTGGACCTGGGTTCACATTCATCGACAGGACACCCCGGTACTCACTGCATAGAAGCCGATGATCTCCTGAACCACAGGTCAGTGGTGCCGAGACAAAAGGAGGTCCACATAGAAGTCCAGGGGTGTAACCGTGGAGGATTTGGTAAAAGATTACGTCTCAAATCTCTGCACAGGCTTCCGTGCGATAATATTCCCGGCCAATGCACCAGAAATGTTACCGTAATCAATTGCAGAAGCCAAACACAGAGAGATGGAGGCAAATCTTCAGGAAGTAAAAAGGTTCTTTATTCATACCGATCGGGTCTCAGATGAACTTCTGTATCAAAAATGTCTGAGAGCCAGAGCACAGATTGCAGAAGCTTTTTGTTAGCAGCATATCCCCTCCCATACAGTATAACCCCTCCTATATTCCTCAGACCAATCAGCAAACAGGATATTCAGGATCACCTTATATGTGCAAACCACATGGTTCATCTGAGATAAAGGAATGTGCTTTCCACTTCCGCACATGCTCAGTACACTGATGACTCATCCAACTGTTTGTAATTAGATACTAATTAGCATATGCCATGTGGAGATTTCGGCCTTCTAAATTTTGACGATGCTGGAATCCCATCACATTAGGACAACATTGCAAGAAGGAGTGAAACTCTTCTGGGGCTCCTATTATTAGCTTTGTTATACCTTTATGTTGTCAAGTTTCCATTATTTTGTTCACTTCCTTCATGTTTTTCTTTTTTTGGGGGGGGGGGTCTAAAACAGTTATTTTGGCACAGCTGCATTAACCAATAATTATATAAACCTTTTTCATGGAATAGTACTGTAACGGCACCCTCAGCATAAAAGGGTTAAACCGCCGTTTAGTCGATCTTCCCTTCCAGAGATACAGGCACAGCTACTGCAGAACACCAAGCTCTCGAACCACATATAAGGGAATACTCCAAACTCCCTAACAGAATACAAAATAGCACGCCAAACTCCTGAACTGAAACCTCACGAATAGCTGCTAGCAGACGAATAGGAAATGCACCCAAGCGGCTTAAACTCCTAGCAATCAGTCTCTATCAGCATACAGTAAATCCCCCCAAGAACGAGACAGAGCTCCGTGTTGAGGGTCAAGCAGTGGTCTGTGTAATGAGGGCTACCTGCCCAGTATTTATGCAGGTCTCCCACCTGGTGGACACTCCCCTAGGGCACCAGATGGAAGACTGTGACAAAGACATTGTAGCAACCAATCACAGGGTACACACTTACCCAGAACCCTCTGCTCTGCTCAGGGAGATAATTGTGAAGTAATTCAAGTATCTCCCAGGACAGAGCCTAAATGCCATTTTAGATGACAATAACAAAAAGACATAAAAATACATAACTGTTATATTTTACAACATTTTACAGGTATTCAACATGTCCCTAGATAGCTAAGATCTGAACGCACCAAAGTACCGAATAGCGCTCAGATCCTATGCACACAGTCCAATCACCATGGAGCCAAAGTGTTCACAAAGTCAGTTTTCATACGAATGATCTCCACGGGATTCCTATCTGGGGTATGGTGTATTCAGGTACAAACTACCGAATATAGGGCCTTTCGTGCACTTCCACCGAACAAGAAGGGAGGTCGGCGGCTTCAGCGGTTTTCGCGCCAAAATGTATCCATTTTCAGTTCCATGAGTTGGGCGTCGAACAAGGCTGTGCGTTCGCGTGTTTAAAATGGCCGCGACCTCGTGTTCGGTATACGAATGGTGGCCACCCAGCATTCGTCAATTAAGCTGCGGTTAACCGCAGCTTCTGGGAGGTTAATTGCCGACACACTCCAGCTCCCAGGTGGTCCAGTCATTCATGCGTTAGTTCGGTAGATTGAATCTACCGACCGCCGGGCAGAAAGGCACGAATAAGCCTTTTCTGCAGGGGAAAAGAAGTCTTTTAACATGGGGCCATAATCCAAAGGCAACAGGCGAGCAATCAGGCTTCTCCAATGCAATGTGGCGAGATTGGTCTAGTCACAAGTACAAAATATCTACTAGACAGGCACAGGAAAGTGGTTCCAATAAAATGGGTTTTATAATGGGCATCATTGTACATTTGTTCTAACATTATGCAGGTCTTCCTTTGTCTTTGACAGTGCATAACTTGAATCAATTGTACATATGTCATATTCACTCTTGTTCCTTACAGATCAAGCAAGAAAATGGTAGATAAAATTGCAGAGTCTTTTATTGGAAAAAAATGTGATAAAATAAACATGAAAATCTTTTTTTAAATTAGGCAGTTTGAATCAGAACCTGATTTTGAACAATATAAAAAAAAGAAAGCAGTCCTTGCTAAATAACATACATTGCTTCACCTTGTAAATTAATAACATTAGTAAAAGGAAAACAAAGATCATGGCAGATTGTTTAAATGTAAGAAAATAACGGAAAATGGTGATTTACCCAAATTTTGAGTCAAGTCAGTTATTTCTTAAGAAAGCAATTTCCACATGGATAACACTAAATACAAGCTGGTAAACTGACTGGCTGTAGCTGAATGGGAAAAAGAGAGTTCATTTAGTTTACAGCAGTTGAGTAGGAAACATTTGAAGTCCATTTAAAAAATGCAGGGGACAAGGGGATTATAAGAATCCAATTTGAAGATTCTGAAAAAAAGTCCCAGTGAGGTAAGGGTATAATCAGTTCTGGGTTGAGCTGGAGATTCTGAGAACTAAAAAATGAGTTTGTAGAAACATGCAAGGCACAGGAGCAAAATGGGCCTGTGTCAGCTCATTAACCCCTTAACGCCGAGTACTTAGGGGATTGCCTAACGATGAGTGACGGACCTCATCCATCACCCGTTAAAATTAACCCCGGATCACCGCTATCGCGGCGATCACGGGCTTAATGGTGCTCCGGTCAGCCTCTGTATTAGAGGCAGACCGGGAGCACCTGATATTGCTGCCCCAGCACATATGCTCGCTCTGACAGCCTGTCAGAGCAAGCACATGTGCTCAGTATACTTACCTTAAGCCTCCCTGCACTTCCTGGTTCTGTGTGAAGTGCAGGGAGCTGGAACAGTGATGATCCTGCCCCCTGTGTAAAAAAAAAAAAGTTAATTTAAAATCCCACCCACCTTTACCCATTTTAGTAAAAAAATGACCCCTTCCCTGCCAATTGATCACTGACTACAGTGATCAATTGGCAGGGATTACATTTTACTGTCATCTGATTTTTTTTTTAACCCTGAGGGTTAATTCTTTTTTTTAACCCTCAGGGGTTAAATTTATTTAATTAATTTAAATATTTTAAAATTATATATTTAGCTAGCTGGGGTGGGTGGAAGTTAGTGGGAATTGGGGGATTTGGTGTTAGGCTAACTAGGGGTTAACGTTAAAAAAAAGTTTTAAAATAAACTTTCAAAAGTTAAAAATTAAGCTAAAAAAAGTAAAAAAAAACACCCCCCTTTACCAAGTCCAAATAAAAATTAACCCATTCCCTGCCAGTCGATCATTGCCTACAGCGATCAAAATACAGATCACAGTATTATACTGTGATCTAATGTTTTTTTAACCCCTGAGGATTAACTTTTATTTATTTTTTAACCCTCAGGGGTTCAATTTATTTAATTAATTAATTTAAATATTTTATAATTCTTTATTTTGCTAGCTGGGGTGGGTGAGAGTTATGGGAAAATGGTGAATTTACTGTTAGTACTGCTTACTGCTAGTTAGGGGTTAACGGTAAAAAAAAAGCTTAGAAAAATTTTAAATCTGTAAAAAAGTTTTAAGAAAGTTTAGGAAAGTTTCAAAAAATTAATAAGCAAAACAAAAGTTTAAAAACTAGTTTTTAAAAGTAAAAATGTTTCAAAAAGTAAAAAAATACATTTAAAAACGCTCATTACCACTACACCTGGAACAAACTAGAGAAAAAATGATCCAATGCTAAGGTTCAAAATATGCCTTTTGAATTACCCCAGGGTGTATTCTTTAGTAAATAGTATGTGTTTTTCATTTTCAATAACCAACCGTCTAAACTACTCCAAATTGGAACATGGACACAGCGTAAAACTTCAAAGTTAGAAAAAAACTGGCTGCTTCTCAAATGCGCCCCTTCAACATCCACATATACCTGGCAAAGGTGCTTATGGTGGTATACCCTGGGATGTCTTCTTTGAGAAATGGTATGGCTTTATGGGGTATTTGGATTATATAGCCTGGTAAAATACTCTATAATGGGACATGGGCACAGCGTAAAAATTTAAAGTTTGAAAAAAAATGACTGTGTCCCAAATGTGCCCCTACGATGTCCACATATACCTGGCAAAGGTACATATGGGGGTTAGTGATGTACCGAACGGTTCGCCGGCGAACGGTTCCTGGCGAACATAGCATGTTCGCGTTCGCCACGGCGGGCGAACATATGCGCGGTTCGACCCGCCCCCTATTCGTCATCATTGAGTAAACTTTGACCCTGTACCTCACAGTCAGCAGACACATTCCAGCCAATTAGCAGCACAGCCTCCCTAGCAGACCCTCCCACCTACTGGACAGCATCCATTTTAGATTCATTCTCAAGCTGCATGCTTAGTAAGAGGAGGGAAAGTGTAGCTGCTGTTCATAAGATAGGGAAAAGCATAGCTAGGTTAGGGATAAGGGTATGCTTTTTTTTTATTTTTTTTTCTATGTAATGTAAATGCACTTAGTTGTCTGCCACTGCTGCCAGCTTCTGTGTCAGGCTCACAGTGCCCATTTCCCCAGTCAGTGCCACCAATTACATCTGGTGTCACAATAGCTTGGATTTAAAAACAAAAAACTTTTTTCACTGTTATAGATTGAATAGCAGTCAGTTGTCTGCCACTGCTGCCAGCTTCTGTGTCAGGCTCACAGTGCATACTGTGCCCATTTCCCCAGTCAGTGCCACCAATTACATCTGGTGTCACAATAGCTTGGATTTAAAAACAAAAAACTTTTTTCACTGTTATAGATTGAATAGCAGTCAGTTGTCTGCCACTGCTGCCAGCTTCTGTGTCAGGCTCACAGTGCATACTGTGCCCATTTCCCCAGTCAGTGCCACCACTTACATCTGGTGTCACAATAGCTTGGAATTAAAAACAAAAAACTTTTTTCACTGTTATAGATTGAATAGCAGTCAGTGTCCTTAAAGCGGGTGTGTTACGCTAACAGTGGATACGGTGACCAGTGCCACCACTTAGATCTGGTGACACAAAGCTTGGATTTAAAAAAACAAAACACTTTTTCACTGTTATAGATTGAATAGCAGTCAGTGTCCTTAAAGCGGGTGTGTTACGCTAACAGTGGATACGCTGACAAGTGCCACTAATTAGATCTGGTGTCACAATAGTTTGGATTTTTAAAAAAAATTATCTTTTTTCACTGTTATAGATTGAATAGCAGTCAGTGTCCTTAAAGCGGGTGTGTTACGCTAACAGTGGATACGCTGACCAGTGCCACTAATTAGATCTGGTGTCACAATAGCTTGGATTTAAAAACAAAAAACTTTTTTTACTGTTATAGATTGAATGGCAGCCAGTGTCCTAAAGCGGGTGTGTTACGCTAACAGTGGATACGCTGACAAGTGCCACTAATTAGATCTGGTGTCACAATAGCTTGGATTTAAAAACAAAAAACTTTTTTACTGTTATAGATTGAATAGCAGTCAGTGTCCTTAAAGCGGGTGTGTTACGCTAACAGTGGATACGCTGACAAGTGCCACTAATTAGATCTGGTGTCACAATAGTTTGGATTTAAAAAAAAAATAATCTTTTTCACTGTTATAGATTGAATAGCAGTCAGTGTCCTTAAAGCGGGTGTGTTACGCTAACAGTGGATACGCTGACAAGTGCCACTAATTAGATCCTGTGTCACAATAGCTTGGATTTAAAAACAAAAAACTTTTTTTACTGTTATAGATTGAATAGCAGTCAGTGTCCTTAAAGCGGGTGTGTTACGCTAACAGTGGATACGCTGACAAGTGCCACTAATTAGATCTGGTGTCACAATAGCTTGGATTTAAAAACAAAAAACTTTTTTTACTGTTATAGATTGAATAGCAGTCAGTGTCCTTAAAGCGGGTGTGTTACGCTAACAGTGGATACGCCGACAAGTGCCACTAATTAGGTCTGGTGCCAGCTTCTGATTTAAAAACAAAAAACTTTTTTTACTGTTATAGATTGAATAGCAGTCAGTGTCCTTAAAGCGGGTGTGTTACGCTAACAGTGGATACGCTGACAAGTGCTACCAATTAGATCTGGTGACACAAAGCTTGGATTTAAAAAAACAAAACACTTTTTTCACTGTTATAGATTGAATAGCAGTCAGTGTCCTTAAAGCGGGTGTGTTACGCTAACAGTGGATACGCTGACCAGTGCCACTAATTAGATCTTTTGTCACAATAGCTTGGATTTAAAAAAAAA